CTCGCTAGCTCACGAAGTTCCTCTCAAAGCTAAGATGAGACTGTTAATAATGATCTGAACACACCTGCCCTACTCACAGGATCATATGTGTGGATGAAAGTACAAAATCCCACCTCAGGAGTTTAATCTGCACAGCATTTCTTACTTTGGGGAAAAAAGAGTGCAATGCAAGGTCTACAGAAATCAAGCATTAAAACGACACTTAAAAGATCAGTTACCCATTCCGTCAGCGAAGGTCAAGATATTTATATGCCTCCCTAAGTCCCCTGAATTTAATTAACCTTACAAATTCACTTTAGTGCCAAACTGTTCTCCAGTCCTAAACCTTAGTTTCTTGATTTGCATACCTGTGTGTAAGGTACTCACAAGAAAAACTTTTAAGACCCACTGAAGTGAAAAATCTAACCACTGTATTGCCCACAAAGATAGAAAATGGGCTCATTTTAAGTAAAAACACCATGATCATCATCCAGCCAAGTTCCATGAGGGCAGGGCTGAGTTTGCTTCACCGCCATATTCCTCACACCAAAAATGGTGCCTGGCACATAGTAGGTGCTCAGTAAATACTGTTGAATGAAGGACCTATGACAGATCCAGCTGAAAAAAAGAGGAAATGAGCAAGAATTTATTGAGCCAAGAACTGTTCTTCAGTGCCTAATGTGATCAGTCATTTAAATATGAAGTCAATCCAGTATACACATGAAAAAGTGACTATACACAGTTATATATAAATGTCGATATGAGTTATGAAGATAAGATTCCATGTAGAATTCACTAACCTTTCCAATGTGAAAAAGAAAACGTACCCACGTGTGAATGAACTTAACATAATGAAGGAGATGAGGGAAGGAATGTTTACATACAAAACATTCCTCATTTCATATGGAGTCATTCAGTAAAACACAGTATCAACTGAAATTTTATCTGATTCCAGAGTGTGTACCCTAAGTCTGAGGTTTTTTTATAGCACTTTCTACCCATAAGTCAATCGCCGAATCATGCAGAAAAACCGGCAACTGAGTAAACGTAGGGTTTTTTTTTTCCCCCCTGGCTTGGGACTTTTCCCTGTGCATAGTAACTTCTGAAAACATTTTAAATGACAGTGTTCAGCCCAATTTTTTGTCAGACTAATGCCATGCACGCAATACAAATGTGTACTAGCAAACAGGCTCGATGTTCAATCAAGAAACAAAAAAGAAGACCCATCCCACACAAACGCCTCATCCCCTGCCTGCATCCTGGAGGTTCACCATTTTCATGATGCATCCTGCTGTCCAGAAACCCGGACAGCAATGAGAACAGTTCTAATATTAAACTAGCAATCCCAACGAGGCTGGCTGCCATGCACTGACCAGCCACCTGTGTGCCCGGCACCGATTTACCTGGTCCTTACCTGTGCTATCGCTCTTAGTCCTGACAACCGATCAGAGAGGAAAGGGTTATTACTACAGCTCTCCCCATTTGCAGATGAGGAAATATAGGCTCGTGGAGACCGTGTCTTGTCCAGGATCAAGTAAGCAAAGAAGCCATGATTTAAACACTGTCTGGAGATCTTAAGAACCAGGACAGCACTACCTTTCTGGACTTTTATTTGCTTTACCTGACCAGCTTCTGACAAAAGTTCGTGCATAGTTTTCAAAAATAATTTTAATACTAATCAAATGTATACTCAAAAATATAACACCTTTCCTTTCAAAAGAGGGAAAATATATGACAACTTTCCAAAGGAAGGAAAATAAATGGTCCTTCTTGCCCACAAACATGGTAACTTAGTAAAACTCTGACCCAGTTCCAGCTGTGCTGTATACTGCTCTTCAGACACCACGGTTTCAAAAATAACTACCCTGGTGCTTGGGGTTAAAAAAAAAGGTAACCTACAAGAGCATGCCATCTGATTCAATGTGTTAGCACCAAACCCTACATCAAAACAAGTCAAAAGGTGCTTCATCTATGGTCCAAGGATGACTGCAAGAATCTTTCCACCACCCGAGAGTTCAACAGAGAAGCGAGCTCCACATCAAATGATACAGGTGTCCTGCCTCCTCCCCTAAGCTAGGTCCTCGCCTGGGACCCTGGACTTGTAAAAGATGACTATGAAATTTTTAGGAATACTGCAGGCCAGTTATTAAGTCCAGCCATTATTGAAAATTCTACTTAAAATTTTAAAAATCGTATTAAAAACAAAGGTGCTGGGCGTCGGGGTGGCTGAGTCGTTAAGCATCTGCCTTCAGCTCAGGTCATGATCCCAGGGTCCTGGGATCGAGCCCCGCATCGGGCTCCCTGCTCCTTCTCCCTCTCCCACTCCCCCTGCTTGTGTTCCCTCTCTCACTGTTTCTCTGTCAAATAAATAAATAAAATCTAAAAAAAAAAAAAAGGTGATAACCACTCGAATCTCATCACTTCCTCATTAGTTTACTTCATTTTACTATTATCTCTGCTTTTGAGATTATGTCTGTGGTCTGTGAGGCAGTGGAAATACTGCACAATGGTGGGCTCTAGCACATCTCCCCCCAACTCCACGGTCAGTGGCCTCACCACATCTGTAGCCTGAAATGAGCCACAGTAGAAGAATTTACGGGAAATTGGCGAACTCTGCAAGTCAGGCTTTCCTTTCCTTGGAGAGCCAGGTATTAGACATTCAGCAGCATCCCCCCTGGTATTCATAATTCATCCCATCCCTTTCTGCTGCCATGCCTTCATCTCTTCTCTCTACAACTTATCTACACACACACACGCCCATCAAATTTAAAATATGAAAACAAAAACCTAACCACCTCCAGATAGCATCCCTTTCTACCATTCCTTCTTTCCCTCGTCGATTTATTTATTTATCTGAGAGAGAGCGAGCACATTCAGGGAGTAGGGCAGAGGGAAAGGGAGAATCCTGAAGCAGACTCCCCACTGAGTGTGGAGCCTGACGCAGGGCTCAATTTCTCAGCCCTGAGATCATGATCTGAGCCAAAACCAACGGACATTTAACCAACTGAACCATCCAGGCACCCCTCCACCATTCCTTCATTGCCAAATTTACTGAAAACATTCTTTCTGTGCTTAATTCCAACACTTCCTTCCCATCAATTCATTAATTTAGTCATTTCACAAATCTTTGAGCAAGTACAATTAACCAGACACTATAAAAGTAACTGGGGGTACAAATGTGAGCCAAGTTCAACATGGTCCCTCCTTCATGAGAGTCACATGTTGAAGCCACCTTGAAATCTCCAATATTCTATTAATTCCTCTTTTTTTCTCCTCCTTGGCCTTTCTTTAAAAAATTTACAATTTCCCTAAAATGCTGTCTTTTCCTCCATGGCCCTCCATAAAAAAGTCAAGATTTCCTCACCGATAGGACTCTCTTACCTCTTTTCTTCCTTGCACAGGAATTTCATATATTTCTATGATTTCATCCTCCCCCTACTCTCAGAAAACCTATTTCTCCCCTAGCCTTCCCATCTCCAGTAACTGGCACCACCATTCACCCAAATGTTGAAGCCAGAAACCCCCAAATCCTCATGTTCTGCCTTTCCCTTACCCCTCCCTTCATCCCAAGCATCAGCAAGTCCTGTGGAAACTATATCCAAAAGATGTCCCGAATCCAACACAGCATTTCATTCCAGTCCTTGTCACCCTTGGCCAAGACCTTCTTCTTCTCATTCAGTCTGTATAAAATTCTCCAAACCCTTCTCCCTGCTTTATTCTTGCCCCCTCACATCAAGCACTACAAAGAAGCCAGTGAATATTTTAAAAAAGAAATGTGATTTCTCTCAACACTTATAACAAACAAACAAGAAACCTCTAAAGTCTCCCCTCTTCACCCAGAATAAAATCCAAACTTCATTTCATGGCCAACAGGGCCCTTCATTACCTGGGCCTGGCCACTCCCTGACCTCGCCTCTTCCAACTCCCACTTGCTCATTATCCCAAGTCTGGAACCTTCTGCCCAGATCTTGGCAGGTCTTTGCAGGACGAGCTCCTCCTGTCATTATAAGGATGCCGGAGGCCTTCCCTGACCAACCAACCCAAATCTGGCCCAGCCAGGCCGGCCCATCACTCTTCATCACACCGTCCATTCCTTGGTGGTTATTTAGTGTCTGTCTTCTTCTACTGGAAAAGAAGCTACACAAGAAAAAGGACCTTGTCCTCCTTACTTACCAGGACATCCCTGGTGCCTAGAACAGTACCTGGCACATGACAGATGTTCAACAGCCATTTGTTGATGAATGAATGATGAATGGAGCAAGATCCAAAAAAACAGGCAAAAGTGGAAATAACTGGAAATTAAGACCCTGAAATGAGAGTTTTCAGGGACCGCAGAGAGAAATAAGAACTGCAATCTGAAGTGGTAAAGTGCTAACAGGATGAATCTGATTTTCATCTTTATTAAATTCTGACTTGCCCATGGTTCAAGTTATTTTAGAGGCAACCTAACTAATGAGGGCCCGTTCTGATGAATCTATGTTAATTTTCATGGCTGGGTCAAAATATTTTTTAAAAGAAAGAAAACTACATGCTTTATAAAAGCTTGTCTTGTATCCTCAAAAACATTCCTGAGAAGCGGAGTCCCCTGGGGCTTCCTCCCATACTCGTGCTGTAATAAATTCCTGTCACACATGAAGACTGAGTTTGGGGAAGGGAGCAGGGGAACGTAGCACGCACTCCTCGCCCACATTCCCAGGGTACCTGCTCTCCAATGCAAGGTTCTTCCACCAGGGACACGGTCTAGTGTCTGTCCTTCTTAACTGCGGCTTCACAGACCCACACCTCACCCTGTGCTTCCAAATCAAGGCACACAGCAGGGCAGCTACTTGCTGCTTCTAGCGACTCCTTTCCTACCTAATCTAATTCAGGGAAAGGGAGGAATGAAGAGAAGGAGGAAGGAGGGAAACAGGGAGGGAGAGGGGCAGTCACGAAACACTCAGTACTTTACTTCTCCTGCCCACCCACGCTACACCAGGTGGTGCTGGAGGGTGAAAATGGGCCTGGGGAGCCCAGCTTAGTACCTCATCATGGACCACACAGCTCGAGGAGACACTGGGAATCCACTGCTCTTGGGTTCTGGTGGCGATGGGGCGTGGCAGCCACCCCAAGCTCCTCGGTGAGGAAATCGATGCTGCTTCCCATTCTCCCGGTGAGCGTGCACAGGCAGCGAGGGGGGCTGAGGGTTCGAAGGCTGCTGAGGGCTGCACTGATGGATGACCCCATTGCTCCTAATTGTGCACGTGGCATTGAGGGGAAAGAAAGTCAAACAGAATGACAAGGCTTGCAAGAAGAAATAGTAGTCCCCTGGCCCACTCCCAAGTCCTGTTCCCTGGAAGCAACCATTCTCAAGTCTTTTAGCTCTTTTGTTTCTGGTATGTATCACAGTGTTTTAAAAATAACACAATTATAACATTATTTTTTTATTTTAGAACTTAGCCTTATTTACTACACTAGAAGTCTCAGTCCCTCTTACATGGTCACCAACACAAACATACACGTGCGGGCACGCATATGCACACAAATACACATACACACACACACATTCACACACCCTCTTCTTCACCCCTCGTCCTCCAAATAGATTTCTTTCAAAATATTTGGTTGAAGTGGTATTCGGGATTTACATAATTATGATCTTATAAAATATTGTTCATCGCTGATCTATCCAATGTACCCTGATTACATTTTCTTTCATGAATCCTCTGAGATAGAATTCATAACCACCGAATGGGCAAAAATTAAAATGTCTGATACTACGAAGTGATGCCCAAAATGTGGAGCAAAGCAAAGGGGATTCTCAGACGTTGTTGCAATCATTTCAAGAGCAATGCTTCAATAAGGGACACAGTTAATGTGCATCTATCCATGGTCTCAGCAACTCTACTTCTATGGTTATGCTTGAGAGAAAACCACATGTATTTGCACATACACACACACAAAATCCACTGCAGCATAGTTTAAAATAGCAAAAAATGTACAAATAACCTAAATTCCAAATCCAGAAAAACAGATAAATAAATTGTGATATTTAAATACTGTACAACAGTTAAACTGAATGTACTATAGCTACACATATCCAGAACGATGTATCTCAAAATCCCAATGTTAAATGAAAAGCTAGTGATACTATTGATATAAAGTTTGAAAATATGTTAAAAATATACTATTTGATACTCACTGGTAAATACATATTAAGTAATGGCATAAAAATAATCATAGAAATGAAAAGTGACGAATTCAGGACAGTGGTTACTCTCAGAGAAAGAGGTTAGGGACTGGAGTCAAGGAATGTTACTCTCTGCATGTTGGAAATGATATCCAAATTTTTAGAAAAGAAAGAAAAGTAAAAAGAAATTTGACTTTCGGGAGCTGATCTTTCACTGAAAATGTTTCTTCCTAATGGTGATGTCAAATCAAAGACATCCCACTCCATTCCTGTGGCCCAATCTTAAAATTTAGGAATAAATTGTCCTTCATGTAGAAGGGCTTCCAACATTCGTTTTTGTTACCATTTCTTTCCTGGTGCCTGAATCATATGATAAAAGACCTCAAGAACAACTTAATGCCAAGATGTTTATTCTAAATGAACAGCTAAAGTGGGAGGACAGCCCTAAAGAGTTTGTGCAAAACTGTGTGTGTGTACATTATTCTGGGAAAGGGGACACAATTCCGTGAGATTTTCAAAGGGTCATGACCCTCACTACATCCAGAACGTCTGAGTTGATCTCATGGTACAAATGTGAGCCCAGGCGTTGGGCAGCAGATGTCCTGAGAGGTCTCAGGTCCCTGCTCTGTGTTCCGTCCACAGAGGCAGAGGTTACTCAGGGGGCAAGCCTGTGGCTCCGGAGTCACACAGACAGGGATCCAAATCCTAGCTCCCCCCGAGATTCGGTGACTCTGGAGAGGTCACTTTCTGTGATTCTGTTTTCTCCTCCATAAAATGAGGCTAACAGTTATTCTGAACATTAAGTGACTTCATGCCTGCAAATGGCTATGGCACAGTGCCTGGCAGGTGGCCAGGACTCAAGAGATCTTAACCGTTATTGGCCAGGTCTCCCCGGCACATGCTCTCTGTCCCGACCGCTGTTCGCAACTGTCATCAGTTACTTGTGTAATGACTTAGACAACGTCTGGCTCCCCCCACTACTGTATATGCCCCTGGAGGGAAGAAATCTTTCTCGTTCTTGGCCAGGCACAGAATGAGTATGTGTCGAACGGGTGGATAGAAGGATGAAGGAAAGAACGAACGTCTCCACTTATGCAGAGCTGCGGCTGGTGAGAGCCAAAAGCGACTAAAAAACAAAGCAGGGACTAGGAACTGTGCAACTTCGGAGCTACATATCAGCAGTGTGAGTCCTCCCATAGAACTTCCAGCGGTTTCGTATTAGGAAGGCCAGGAACAGTTCTTAAAGAAATAAAAGACAATTATCCCCTTTGAAAAAAGCCTGGCTCAACAGCGACCAGGTGAAGCAGTAAGGAGTATACAGGCACCGCTGGGCTGGAGAGTCCCGAGACCAGAGGACACATGACCTCATGGATGAGGTTAAAATCGCTCTGGACTGGACCACCGGGGAGGGTCTGCAGTCAGTTGTCACATCCTTCTGCCGTCAGTGAGGCAAAGCAGAAAGGGCTTAGGACGCAGAGCTACAGAGGAGGCAAGAAGAAGTGGGAACGGGACGGGTTGCTAGGTCGTCCTGTAAAAAGTAAGGCTGGCACTGCAATCCCTCCCATTGGTCAGGAGGATAGAGAGGCAAGGCATTCTTATACAAGCCAAGGGGAGGTCCTCAGGCTCACAGCTTTCTTGGCATGAGCTTAGGGCAAAACGATAACCAAGCTCCTTCCTCTTACACGCCTCTGAGATTTACAGAGAGCCACCAGAGCACTAAAGTCTATTTAAATTATCTCCAAGCACGCCCAGGCAGGAAGGTGATCAGAATGTAATGACTCATCTCAGCTTGTTGCCACTCAATAACACTGCTCTTATCTTTATGTCAAGGAGTATAAAGAGGTAGCGAATGGGATAAAAAGGCAGGGGTTTTTTTAAAGGTAAAATTCTTTGTCGGATGAAGCAGAAGAATAAATCAACCACATTTTTTTAAAAGTTCAAAAGTAAGGGCCTTATAATTACTGAAAAATGGGGTCTGCATGGCAAATTGTTTGTAATTATGGATTTGATAGAGGAAGAAAAATATAGTGTGTGCTTGAACTTTTAATATGCCATAGCATTCTTACCATCTATAATCCACAGGATATAATGAATGTGCTTAAACTCTTTAAGTGAAAATAGGCTACTAAATAAACTCGACCTTTAATTTGAATATAACATGTATGGTTTAGAGTGGCCTTTTGTGGAATTCCAAAACAAGACTCCCAAATACTCTTAGGTAACAGCATCATCCCTAGAACAAGTAAGCAGACCCAACTTAGCAGTGCTTTTTGATGGGTAACACTCATTTGAACGCAGGGATTCAAGGCAAGCTGTTAAGAAACAGTTACCATTTGCAACCACTTCTCTTTGCGAATCAGAATTTCTCAATCATATGCAACCAAAACAATCTAGCAACATAAACTTGGCAATTAACATAGATACTTTCCAATTCCAAATTTGGGGCTCACAAAATCTTTATAGTCCTCATTGATTTCTATAAAGTGTGAAGGGTTGGAAATATCTAATGCATTTATCTTACCAAAACAATTATCTTATTAATTTATGATCTAAGACGAGGTTACGTTTAACAAAATGTTATACTTTTTTTTTTTTTACTGAAAGCTTGAAAGCTATTGATTTAAGTAATTCTTCTCTGCACATACATTGCTTCATATAAAAACTTTAAAATGACTTACGATTTCTCTTGCTTGTGGGATAGGGAAAAGAGATCATAAACCAAGCACACTCCGAACACCGTGATGCCTGTCTCTTTCACCAGCATCGCGCAGGTCCCCAAAAACAAACTGAGCAGCAAGAAGAAGGGAGAAGTGGTGGGAGGGAAACATTCCCCAACATGATGCTGGTCCACACTCCTGGAAAACAAGATCAAGGCCCTTTTAATCTAAGAAGAAATGTGAGTCACTGAGAAATACTAACTTTTAAAAATTAGATTTAACAATCAATTTCATTGTATTCTAAATAAGCAGGTGAACAAAGATTTCTTCGTGAATGTTCATCACAGAATTATTTAAAATTGCAAAGATGAGAAAAAGTGAATGCCCAACAACACTGAACTTGGTACCTAAACTGAGGTACATATAAATTACGGTAAAATATGGCATATAACAAATGGACACTAAAAAAACACTTAAAATGCCTCCATAGAGATATAGTTAGTGGCATGGAAGGATGTTTAAGTGAATAATACAGATTACTAAACTTATGCATGAACCCTGAAACCAGGTTCCCTGGGTTCCAATCACAGCTTTGCAGCTAACTGGGTATTATGAGGCAGGTTATTATACCTCTCTGTGCCTCAGTTCCCTTATGTATGAAATAGGATCACAGTGTTGTAGGCAGAATTAAATAAATGACTTACTACATGCGAAGTGCTTATCATCATTATTGTTATTTTGGTGAAGGTGTTTCATATGCTTCTGTACATAAATCAGTCAGTGGATATAGACACATATCCCGAAATATAATCCTCATTTCCTCTATGATGAAAATCCAGATGTTTTGGCCTTTTACTTTTCTTTTGGTTAACTGGTATTTTAAAAATTTATTTTCCAAGGGGATGGATTAGGTAAATTTTTTTTCTCAGTATAATTTCCAGCAGGGATTTTCAAAAATCTTTCCGAGCTGTAAAGCCTTTTTTCACCTTACAACACAGAATCAGCCCACACCTAAAAACATCACTATTCCTTCAGTAGGTGCCACACCCATCTGCCCCTACTCCTCTGAAGTAAAGGCCAATATTTCTGTAGTTAGGACACCTTAGTTGTATTATGTCTTGGAACAATGACCTAAAATTATATGCCAAATTTGCAGTGGATATACATTCTTCTCTGAAGCTGGTCTATAAGCTTCAATTGCTAAGAGTGGGAATGGCGTGCACAGTACAAACCGCAATCCCATGGCTCATTATCGCCCAGAGATAGATGGACACAATGCTGTCCATGAGGCACAATGGCCTCATCATGTTCCCGAATGTACCATCCACACAGAAAAAGCCCAAGAGAATAAGTTTAAACCAAAGGCAACTGTTAATTTTGTTCTAATACCAGAGTTAAACAGCAAAAAACTACCTGGTGAATTTGTATTTAAAATCTTAAAAATGGAAGCCCAATACCATTTCCAATGACTGGCAATGCAGTGTTGAGTCACAAAGCCAGGCCTAGGAGACTAACTGGACACATACCCCCCACTTTTCACAAGTTCACGTTACTTTAATGAAAGACCCACATGAGTACCTATTCTCTGTAACAGGAAGAAATCCGAAGAGGATTTTTGCTTTTATGAAAGAAGATGAAAAGCAAAAACAGTGTTTAGTGTTTATTTTGTAGGAGTGTTACCGAGGTGGTGCGCACCCCGAGCAGCACAGTGGCCCTGCCAATTGGCTCCGTCCCCAGGGCCACACTCAGCATCTCAGGACCCAGCCTCCAGAGCTTTGAACTGTGTGAGCGTCCGTGTTCTATCTCCATTTAGTCTGTGCATCCATTAGCGAGATGTGTCCGAAGATATCAGAAAAAGCCCAAGAGAAGTTGTTTTTGGGGTCTTGGAATGCCCCCAATTTTTCCATATCAATTAATGGCCACTGTTTCTTCAACTTGAGGCCATTTTAGCTTACAAAAGGTGTTCACAGAAACGCTCTACTTTTGGATAGCAGGGGAAACCTGTACTATAAGAAAAGGCTCCACTCGTTAAATCAAAATTCCATTAAGAATTAATTCTTTTCATTCTTGGTCATCCAAGGTCTAAACTGGTTTATAACAGGGTTTCTCAGTCTGAGTACTACTGGCATTTTGGGGAAAATGGTGCTTTGTTGTAAGGGTTGTCCTGTACATTGTAGGACCCTTGGCCTCTACTTACTAAATGCCAGTAGCACCTTTCTTTTTTTTTTTTTTGCCAGTAGCACCTTTCCACTTAACGAAAAGCAAAAGTGTCTCCAGACATTCCCAAATGTCCCAAGGGGAAGACCATAACTGCCCCATATTGAGAACCACTTGTTTAGAATTGCATTGCTCAGAGTCACTGGGCTCTGAAAGATGGCAGGTCAATGAACTCATCCAAAGATCAACATTCACAAATCTCTAACCAGGTATCCCTCCATGAAGTAGGGTGACATGATTCACTGGCCCCCTTTTTTCTGGGACACCCCGAGCCATCTACCCTACTCCCATTCTCTTTTTAACCTGCCCCTTTCCCTACGTGGATACGTCACAACTCACGTGAGAATCTGAGCACTTTGGGGAGTAAGGGCAATATAACGGGAAATTATTTTATTGCTTTTCAGCATCCCAAAGTAAGGAACTTATGTATTTTGATGAAAGGATGTGTAAATTAGAAAACCACAGTTAAGAAATACTACCTCCAATTCAGCCTTTGTTATTTTAAGTTCTGACCTACTTTAGTGAGGATAATAAAGAGGAAAAAAAATTAAGACCAAAATGAAAAAGGAGGAATTAAACAAATCACAGCCAAACAGAAGAAAGGACTTACACCCAATATACACTGGCTCGGAGCTTTCAAATTCCATTCTCAGTAAGAAATAACAAGTAAGAATAATCAAGAAGCCAGAGCTTCCCAACACTGGGAGAGCAGTTCCCTTTAAAAGGTGATGGCAAGGTTCAGAATGTGGCTGGAAGAGAGAGCAGCCTTGCATTTGCTAAGGGGGGATTGTCTATGCTGGTCTCCACAAAGCTCTCTGGGTATTTTGCTGCCAAGAAGCCTCCCTCCTCTCTCAGATAGATGCTCAAAGTCCACGCGTAGACACACACACACACACACACACACACACACACACACACGAAATTCCCCAGGGGAAAGCAGGATTGCAACCACAGAGAAGGGCATTCTTAGCCATACCTACCTATTGTAGGAGAGAAAGGCCAACAGAAAGAACAGGCATGCTAACACATCGGCTCTGCCAACAATTCCAGCCACCTAGAAAGTTTGAAAAAATAAAGACCTCAGAAAATGACTTTATGAAACCGGTTACAGAAATGCATTCATTTTTAGATGAATGTAAAGTATGATAAAATGAGAAAACACATTGTTCTTCAAATCTGACATATGACTAACCACCTCTGGTTATCATATATATAACAGTAAGTTTATAGAAGGAGAAAAAGAGGAAGGAAGGGAAAATATTTTCATGCTTAATTTTATTTTTCACCGTTCTTCTATAGAAGGGCAATTCAGATCATCAAGGTTATTCATTTACTGGTTTATTCAAAAATATTTTTTGAGCAATGACTGAGTGCCAGACACTGCACTAGTCTTTGGTACCAGAGTGCTAATGGAGCAGAGGATATTTACAGAGGACTAGAAAAAAATAAGTTTAGGAAACAATAATCCTGGTAAAAATAGGAATGAATACGAACTCATGATCACCATGTGAGCACATGTACATGCGTGCATGTGTGTGTGTGTGTGTTTCTTAGTTCTGTCACTGAAAGAGCCTAAAAGCAAGATAGCCCAGTAGCAAAGAGCCATCCTGGCACTGACCACCAACCATTCCTCCACTAAAGAGAACATGGGCTCCCTGGAGAAGTGGCCGGTTCGAGGGCTGAGGCTAAGGAGATACCAAAGGAGCTTGGATCATCTTGTCATGTTAAAAGTTAAGAAAGTGTGCAAAAAGTGACAGGTACATGTCAACAGGACACAGAAGCCAGTGACAAGGGGCTCCCACTAACCAAATATCAGGCCATTTGAACATCAAAATAAATAAGGACAATAATAAAACAAACCATTGGAAAAAAAAAACAGACATCCATGAGTGCATCCTGATATTGATGGATGGATGAATGAATGCACATATAAGCACATACATAATACAGTAAGCAAGTGAATGGGAAAAAATAGAAAGCTCTTCCTTACACTGAAAATCCAGTTCATGAATGTGGAGGGAATAGTGTGGTTGGCAAATAGCCATTTTGCATCCAAAAGATTCAAGATTAGAATGAGCAAGAGACATCACAAAATACCAGTGGATGCTAAATCTAGGGTGTAAAGGTTTAATAAAGCACGGAGTGTTAGTAGGGCTTCAACACACTTCCTTCAAAGCATTTACTTGTTAAATAAAAAAGTAAAAAGAATAATTATACTATGGAAAAAATGCATTACACCTTAACTGGGGAATCAAACTTGACCTCACCGATAAAGGGCAAATAGATGTGGCATGTCTCTGCAGGTGATAACCTGAGAGGGACACAATATTGCTTTTGTCAAATTCCAGCCAGGGATACATAACCTGAATATAATCAGGAGAAGACATCGGACAAACCCAGGGTGAGGAACACTCTATCAAATATATAAATACATATATTTTATATTAATAAAGTATAAAATACAACAATTCTACATCATTTTATATCATTAAAATTTCAATATTTTAGTATCTCCTCCTTTATACTGTATCATGATTTACTAGATATATTACAACTCCTATAATCTAAAGTATTATAATACTGTCTATGTTATTACATATTACATGTATATTATGCTTACATATTACATGTGCATATATTATGTATTTCTATTTTATACACTGTATACTTTTACATATTTCAATATTTTACATAAAAAAGTTATACTATTTGTACTTATACATTATAAAAATTTAATATAAAATATAAATAAGGAAGTTTAGAAAATATAAATTTTATAAATCATGGGTTATAAGTTATACAACACATATGTATGATAAATAATAATCATTTGAAAATAACATATTACACATCAATTGCAATGTTATAATATCATGTAAACAGTTTATAATATACATACTAAATATAAGTTTTAAATTATATTTAAAGCTGTGAATTATATTATAGAAAGACAATGAAGACTGGTAACTGCTCCAAACTTGAGACCAAAGAGAAATATGACTAATGGTTTTGGTTTTAGAAAATATACAACTAAATTATTCAGATGTAAAGAGGCATGAATTATGCAACCTACTCTCAAATGCTTCAGCATACGAATAATATTTTTATATATTAAGGGGAAAAGAGAGGAAGAATGACAAAAATAAATGTAGTAAAATGTTAAAAATTGGTGAATCTGGGCAATGAGTATATGGTCATTATATTTTTGAAGTTCAAAAAAATTTTTTAACGTGTTACTTAAGAAAGGGACTGAAGTGGAGGGAGAGTGGGGAACAGACAGCTATTTATAAATCTTTGTGTTAGTCCACTACTACTTAAAACATGCGAGCATTTCTCTTGATTTTTTTGAAATTCAAGAAATAAAACTGTAAAGGAAAAAAATGGGGTATGGTTCAAAGAATGCTTCTCACGAAGGCCATGTATGAGCTGGATCTTAAAGATGAGTAAGAGCTCACAAGGGGAAGGAACAGGGTTGACATTTCAGGCACAGAAAACTGCATCACCCAAACCATCCAGGACCTGTAGTCCACTGTGTTAGAGAATCAATCATAATTAATAGCAGAAAACAGTGTTCTGGGAAATACACTTATGAATACTCTCATATAATGAGCACACTTTGCAGTCCTAAAGGAGGGGCAATGACACATGCATGTAGCTAGACCATCCAAGGCTTGAATACAGACTCCTTCTCTTGTGGTTTGAGTGAGACTCAATTTTGTTATCTTTAATTTCTGGGATTTGATTTTGTTATCTTTATTATTTTTTAAGATTTTATTTATTTATTTGAGAGAGAGAGTGCACGAGCAGGGGGGAGGGGCAGAGGCAGAGGGAGAAGCAGACCCCCTGCTGAGCAGGAAGCCTGATGACATGGGGCTGGATCCCAGGACCCTGAGATCACGACCTGAGCCAAAGGCAGATGCTTAACACTTAACTGACTGAGCCACCCCGGTGTCCCCCATTTTGTTATCTTTAAAATGAGCATAACACCCCCACCTCATGATACTGTTGTGATTAATGAGATGATATATATGAAGTGCCCACTCAATGTGGGTGTCCTTTTTTCTTCTTTTTCCCTGCAGAGAAGGTGGATGGGACTCAGTGCTGAGACAGGTTTTCTTGTGGGGCTTATAGAAATCATCTTTTTATATTAAGGCTTATATGTATGATATTTTAATTTAACTTTGTTAGATAATCAAATATATTAGTTAAAAACATAAATAGAAGATAATTTAATTACATACTTGCATAGGGATTGACAGCAAGTCACATACTGAGCAAAATTCTAGTCCAATCTACACCAAGAGAAACCTGGATATGGCTAAAGAATTTCATGAGCGGTACAGAGTTAAAAGGTATTAGCTGATGTGGATACCTGGACCACACACTGTTCATTGATCCATTAATCTATAAGGAGTTTGAGTGCCAAATCAGGAAGACTGCCGACTCAAGGGAGGTAGGCAATGACAATATGGTGTCACACCTCAGTGTCAAGAACCAGCTCAGACTCACAGTCAGGAAAGCAACAATTGCCCACGGATCGCTCATGAGTCCAGATCTGCTCCGTGTGCACAACGGCGTCTCTGAATGGAGCTCAACATCACCTGCAAGGCCCCTGGAAGGTGAAACAGAGAGCCCAGCTCGCTAGTAACAACATCTTAGGATAAGGCCACACATCTGGGCCCAGAGGGACACTCATCACGGCACAACTGGTGCGGCCAACTCACACAACAGCAAGACTTGCAAGCTGATACTGGGTGTAGCAAGTTGGAAGGAGGCAATCACAAGCTAGCAAGCATAATTAATGTGCTAAAGGCGCCTGAAGCCTCCTTCTCAGATTGCAGCCAGTTTGTGCTGCCAGGAAGCCAGCTGGATGGGCCCAGATAGAAAGAATGTAGCATCCCCTGGAGCAGAAGCTCAGAGGGTGGGTTGAAATACTAGTGCTGACACTGAGAGACTCGGTGGCCAGTTCACTGAACACCTACTCGATATCCCTGTTGAGCTGGGGTCTCTGGGGCAAAGGGGTTAGAGGTCTTAAAAACAAGGTGCTTGTCATCAACTACTGTATGTCTAGACCAACCATTCACTTTCACTGCAATTCAGTTAGTCAGTATCATCATGTTCAGTAACGGCATGATTTATTCTACTCAACAAACAATTTCCAAGGACATCCTCTGTGCAAGGTACTGTGCCAGATGGACGAGTATGCCCTGCCACAAGGCGTTTAACATCCGGTGGGGGGGGGAGGGAGTCAAAGGAGGGTATTAATACGATACAAGGGAGCCGCGTGTATCATAAAGAGGAGAAATAATTGCCACGAGAAGAATGGAGGGATTGACTGCAGAATCTGGAAGGCTTCATGGAAAGGCTGGTGTTATACACTAAAACATAAAGGACAAGCAAGGAGGGCTCAGTAAGCTCAAGACAGGGGAATGTGAATCCGGGACCCAATAAGGACCACAGAAGCATTCCAGGCAGAGGAAGGCGCAGTCTGAAAACACAGGAGGTGTTTCTGGAAGGGAAGGCATAAAGTGATGAGAGCATGGAGTAAGCAAATGAAAGGGGACAGGAGTGAGCAAATATGGAATGTTAAGTTGGAGCTCCTGGGGCTTGATTCTAAGACAACATAGGCCAAACTGTAGGATGCCGGGAAGTACAAAGGACTTAGCCAAAAATACATGCAGATGGATAGCATGCATTTCTGCCTCAAGCTGCAGGTTTTCCTCACCAAGAGGGTGGTTTTTACCTGGGAACTGAATCCTGTAACGCAAACTCAAAGGATGGTAAAAATGAGAAAACCTCATTGGGTAGCATTCAAACAATGTAACAATCAGATCTAAGTCCTAGCAAGCTTAACAGAATCACATGTGAAAAATACCAGTTAATTTAATTTGCCCCCCAAACTCCTTATTTCTTAGCAGACCATTCATAGGATTTGCATAAAGTATACCACATGTACCAAGTTATTGATTGTTCCCTCTGCACGAATGAGTCCCATTAGTGTCAGACAGGGCCAGGAAACACACACATAACATGCAACAGCTGAAAGCCAGGCTGACTAATTAGATCATGACCGATTCTCTCCTACGTGCTCTTGTCCCAGTTCTGGAAATGGTGACCTTAACCCTCAACTCCATGTGTCAGTATCTCCTGTTCTTGCTTTTGACTTGACATAAGTGCTTTCCTTCCAACCAATAATGTTTCTATGATGATTGCTAAGTTTCCATTCCCACCAGGGAATTACAATGATTTTCCCCATTTTCCCAATTTCTCTGCTTATTTTTCTGATGATTCAGAAAATATACTGTCAGAAAACCCTTCGAAGAATCACAAGGTCTTCAATGAGGAAGGGTCTGGGCCTACCCTAGTCATTGCTATACCTCCCGCACTTAAATATTTGTTGAAAGATTGAGTAAATCAATGAATTTTTCCTTATACTTAAGTTGGAGATAATTTTTTATTACAACATATTGTTTTGTCTTGTATGTATTTATGTGCATGTTCTTTGGCTTTTTTAGGAGCTGGTGAACAAATTATGGGTAGGGACCCCTTACCCACACACATACCCTCCCAGCACCTACATCAAGCAAGTATTCATTTACTATATGTTGATTACATAATTAAGGAAACAAATCCTTAATCATACCAACATGTTTAAACAGAACCCCTCCCTCAAAAAATGTTAATCCTCCATCTTTCCTGGGATTACTTATGGTCCTGATTTTCTTCTTATTTAGCAAAGGGGAGATATATCCCTCTGACTCCCTCTCCAGCCACACTACCATCTATTTTTCTTTTCTTTTTTAATAATTTATCACTAAGTCTTCTGTAACACAATGGTTTTTTTTTCCTCTCTCTCTGTCTTCTTCCTTAGAAACCTAAACTAATACCTATAATTGAATGATGGTCTCCTATTTACTTCCTAGTACAGATTGTTACGTAAGTCAAATTTCTTCACCTCCTTCTTACACCTTTCTCATTCCTTGTGAATGCAAACAGTTTCTCTAAAATTTTTCCCTAAATATCCAGCTCTCAGACTCCTTTGTCCCTATAATTGTGCTATCATGGATTTTTTTTTTTTTAGCTTGTTGAAACCTTTCTTAAAGGTCACTTTGCTAACAGGATTTTTCCTTTTTCTCAGAATTCAACCAAACTCTACCAGCTCATGATCCCACTGTCCAAGGTTACCTGCTCTCCCTCTTTACAAGCACAGAATTAAGACTGTTATTGTCCTACTCCTTTATTCTTCCATGCAAAAATTTTGCCCAAGATACTCCAAGCACATATTTTCCACTGTACTTTGACCCGGCATCATATATTCTATATGGCTAGGAGTAGGAGTCCTTGATTATTTCTCTTCAGGTGACATCCAAAAAGAATATTAAAAACTTAGGTATCTCTCTCATCTTTTAAAATACTTGAAGGAATCTAACTTTAATAAAGCCATAATATTACTGTTTTAAATGTACCAAATGGAATCTGAAATGTGCCACCGCAATTTGAAGCTCATTATTTTCCATTTACACAAACGTGAACAGGCTCTTCTTTAAATGACAGACATTTCACACCCATTCTCCTTGAACTCTTATTTCTATTTTATTTCCCCCTGAGCATTGTTTCTTAATGTATTGTGTAATCATGCTTAAAAATATTCTACTTATCATCTTCTCTCTCTGTAATAAAAATACATATATAAAGTTACCTAAGTTACCCCACTTAGTATTAATACACAATTGCTCAATACATCATAAATTAGAAAAAATGATAAATAGCTCTTAGATATAAAAATACACTTCTTAATAACAGGTTTAGCAGGTTTTTCTTTTTTCTTTTTAAAGATTTATTTATTTGAGAGGCAGAGGAAGAGAGAGAATCTCAAGCAGACTCCCCACCAAGCACAGAGCCCGATGCGGGGCTCGATCCCATGACCCTGAGACCATGATCGGAGCTGAAATCAAGAGCTGGACACTTCACCGACTGAGTCACCCAGATGTCCCACGTTTCTTTTCAATAAGTGCAATTATTGATGGAATATTACTTTAGGTTAGAATAAGAAAGCATACCGTATCTGTTCCATCCTAGCTTTCATCTTTACAGAAATGTTCACATAAGTAAGTGAAACAGAAGTAGCTATGTTATAGCAGTGACTTAATTCTTTGAACACTAAGGTCATCTGCAAAATCATAGTGATCTATCATATTACATTTTGCTTAATGATCTACCGGCCCGACAACTCAATCAGATCCTCCTTTAATTTGGTTGAAAGCAAATAATTTCAACATACCCATCATGAGAGTTACCTATCATTAGAGTCATTCGCTTTCATGGTTTCTCAGCAGTACAGCAAAAATGGCTTCACCGAGACTTTCCAAAAGACTACTACTTATAGCCTTCCACTTAGAAGGACCTTTTCAGTCTAAAATACTCAAAAAAGCCCTGGGAAATTGACCTTAAGTAATGTAATTTTTTTATAAAATGATTTTTTTTTCTTTGTCACTCACTCCAAATATATTTGTGTCAAAACCTTGGGCTTACAGATGTAGAACACTGTTTGTAGAAAAAGTCCATCATGTAGCCTAACTGGCAAAACCAGTCCTCATTACAAAACCAATTGGCCAAATCAGGCTTCTTGTGTCAGCTCAAATGAACATATTATGATGCATCCCCATGACAACCATCTCACTTCTGAATTCAGAAGATTAACGCAGGCCACCATACCCCACTTCTAATGCTATGCTCCATTCTTCACAGACATACGTGTAAGACAAAGAGCAATATGTAGCCCCACTCCAGGTCTGTGATGCCTCAATTGAAGGAGGCTTTGCTGACACCAATATAATAAATTGTTTCTTTAAACAGTACCTCAGAGATGTGGACACCTGGGGCATAGAAAAATTCTGATGTAGGAAAGACATTCCTTTTTATTTTTCAATGAGACGACAACTGGAAGGGAGGAGGGAGAGGAGAACCAACTTGACACCCTGACCCTGGGTGTGTTCTCAGAGAAACTATAGGCAAGTGTCCAGAAGCAAGCTGAGGCTCTGGAAATGATTCTTTTAAAGCCGTGGGGCCCATGGGCCCCTCGGAAAGTCTTTGTCTGCCCCTAGCAATAAGGATAAAATAAACCAACTGTGGTTACTGAGCCATGAAACAAGGTAACTTGATAAATGCCTTCTTGGTGCATGATTAAGTCCATATTTCAAAGAGGACCACAGATCTGAACTATCTATACTTTTTAAATAAATTTTGCATCACCCATCAAATAACCACACTTCACATGAAATAACCTGGAAACCTATTTCTAAGTCCCTATTGTAAATCTGTCTTTCTACGCTGAAGTATGTCAGTCTAACTTTTCAGCCCTCCCCTCGCACTCACCGTTCAGCACAGCAGAGAGAGAAAAGGTAAAATACAAATGTAGAGCAGGAACGATGCCTCAGCATGATAAGTACCTCAAAATGCCCTGTGCTGTTTAAAACACATTAGAACTTAAATTTTCTTCAAATAAAGAACTGTGGCCGTTTATTACAACACAATAATAATAACAGTGGTTATTTGGAAAAGCAGTTAAATCGTGGAGGCCATGTGAACATTCAAAAAGACAAGTTATCAAACAGAATGATTTATGTATAAAGATAAACACTTCAGTGGAGCTCTGAATTCACGTGGTTTTGAAAGGGTGGGGAAGATCAGTTTAGCTTTTTTTTCTTAGTTCCTCGTTTCACGGAGGTCCAGTGATACTCACCGCCTCTGTGTGAACAGGATGCACAGCAAAAAGCAACGCTGTAGCAAAAGCAAGTCCCCGGTTCCTGAAGACAGCTTTGTCACAGGTGTACATCAGGACAAGAGTCACGAGACAGTGTAAAATCACATTCACCGCATGAAAGTAGAATGGGTTCATGCCAGTCAAAAATATGTTCAGCCTGTACAAAAAAGACAGAAACAGAAGCCGAATCAGCTACAAACAGAACAGAAACACAAGGAGAGAGGAGGGGATTGATCATTTCAAAAGATAAGCTATTCAATCAATTATTTTTATTTTATTTTATTTTAAATATTTTATTTATTTATTTGACAGAGAGAGAGACACAGCGAGAGAGGGAACACAAGCAGGGGCAGTGGGAGAGGGAGAAGCAGGCTCCCCACCGAGCAGGGAGCCCGACGCGGGGCTTGATCCCAGGACCCCGGGATCGTGACCTGAGCCGAAGGCAGACGCTTAATGACTGAGCCACCAGGCGCCCCTCAATCATTTATTTTTAAATGACTCCCAACATCAGGTTACTCTAGATGGGTGAGTATCATTTGTCCCCATCTCAGGATTTTCCTATCTGCAGAAACTATGGCAAATGCAATACAATTTTATTTCAGAGAACTCTATGGCCTCACTGAGAAGGCAGGCAGATAGGTGCTGAACCTGTTTTCCCTTCAGTCCGTGGCTCACGTGAACGACCCCATGATACTCTTGCTTTCACTGCCGGCTCTTCCCAAGGAGCTGAGCGTTTAAAGGCTAGTCCATAGTGCTGTGGGTCAGAGCCGCACCACTGGAGAGGAGAAAAAAGCCACAAGACTCAGACCCTGGTCACAACTGGGACAAACCAAGCATGAACGTGTTCTCTCACCTACAGTGCCCCCCAGGAACCAAGTTTCCAGATTATGCACCTGCAATGATCGTTAATTACCACCCCACAAGGGATCTTCGGGGCATCTGAAGATGCTATTACCAGCTGCATCTGAAATTAAAAGGATGAGCAAAAGCACATCATTTCAGAATCTGTATTAAATGTTTCCTAACATAAATTCCCACAGACCTCAAAATCTGAATTCTAAGATTATGATGAAGAAACTAAAGAGAATCACAGAAAGAAGGGAAATTTATGGGGCACCAGGGTGACGCAGTCGGTTAAAGCATCCAACTCCTCGTTTCAGCTCAGGTCATGATCTCAGGATCGTAGAGTCTGCTTAAGATTCTCTCCCTCCCTCTCCCTCTGCACCCCCCCATCCCATCTGCATGCTCGCTCGCTCTCTTTCTCCCTCCCTCTAAAAAGAAAAAAAAAAGAAATTTCTTGTTCAACATCTTAAAAAATACTTTTCTGAGACAGAAATGCAGAACAGAGAGACTTAAGGTTGCCTTAAATTTAATAACAGGACATAATGTCCCCAATTGATTCTGTGGGGTTAGCAAAAATAGTTGTATAGGGTGTGATTCTTTTGCGGGAGCATATACACCCTAAGTGGGACTGCCTATAGTTGTCTATACTCCAGCTCATTTTACTGAAACAGGAATCCCACGTCTTTATTCTCATGTCCTTGATCTGCTTGTCTCACACAAACACCTCCTCTCTGCCAAAACAATTGAGAATGTAAAAGTCAACTTTAGTGATGGCATAAGCATATTCTAAATACTTGACTTGATTCATGCACGAGTTTAACCTACAGAATTTTAAACATCTCAAGCTTTATTTGGACACATGAATATAAATGTCATAGTTACTAACTGACTCCATTTTCATTCCCACTGAAGTGATCATCGTCCTAACCAAGCCTAGAAAAATGAATTGCTTTGTGGAATCCAATTTCAGGCCTCCGAAGCAAGACTGGAGCGAGCTGTATGTTGGCCAACCCACGAGTCTGCACATAGCCCCAGAGTTCTGAAGACCCGAGTGTGGTGCAAACAGCCCATCTAGAGGGAAAGAGGAATGTGCCGTGAACTAGGGGGCGGGCAGTGCAGCGAAAAACGGGAGAAGAGCAGCCCATTCTGGTGCAGGAGGACCCACCTCTGGTAAGCGAGCTGCTGGAAATCACAAAGCTCGGGTTGGGGGAGCTGTGAGAAGGGCAAGACCAGGTCCCTATCCTTGAAGAACTTAGGTGCCATTCCTAGAAAGCCCATCCCCCTGAGGCTGATTTTACATCACCATCTACTCCGTCAGGCTAAGCTTTCCAGACCAACTAAACCATTCATTTCAAGCTCACTCATAACAATGACATAAAATAGGCAATCTTACAACCAGCTGGTGAGTGTCCAAGTGGGAAGGTCTCCAGTATCAATGTGCACCAAAAGGCTTTAAGAAGTACATAACCGTTGCCCAAAAATACCACTTCTAGGAATTTTCCATAAAGAAAAAACCAGGAAAAAGTTCAAAGATAGATACAGATATAGGCACAGGTACAGACATAAACAGATACAACACTGATATGATAAGAAATACATATTTTGGTCTTGATCCCAACTCCTGGTAGAGATTCCAAAAACTCCGTAATTTCTTTTTTTTTTTTAATTTTATTATGCTCTATTAGTCACATATAATACATCATTAGTTTTTGATGTAGTGATCCACGATCCATTGTTTTCATATAACACCCAGTGCTCCATGCAATATGTGCCCACCTTAATACCCATCACCGGGCTGACCCATCCCCCCTCCCCCCCTACTAAAACCCTCAGTTTCTCAGAGTCCATAGTCTCTCATGGTTCGTCCCCCCTCCGATTCCCCCCCTTCATTTTTCCCTTCCTTCTCCTAATGTCCTCCATGCTATTCCTTATGTTCCACAAATAAGTGAAACCATATGATAATTGACTTTCTCTGCTTGACTTATTTCACTTAGCATAATCTCCTCCAGTCCCATCCATGTTGATGCAAAAGTTGGATATTCATCCTTTCTGATGGCTGAGTAATATTCCATTGTATATATGGACCACATCTTCTTTATCCATTCATCTGTTGAAGGGCATCTTGGTTCTTTCCACAGTTTGGCTATTGCGGACATTGCTATGAACATTGGGGTGCATATGGCCCTCCTTGTCACTGCATCTGTGTCTTTGGGGTAAATACCCAGTAGTGCAATTGCTGGGTCATAGGGAACTCTATTTTTGAATTTTTGAGGAACCTCCACACTGTTTTCCAAAGTGGCTGTACCAACTTGCATTCCCACCAGCAGTGTAAGAGGGTTCCCCTTTCTCCACAACCTCTCCAACATTTGTTGTTTCTTTCCCTGTCCATTTTTGCCATTCTAACTGATGTAAGGTGGTATCTCAATGTGGTTTTGATTTGAATTTCCCTGATGGCTAATGATGATGAACATTTTTTCATGTGTCTGTTAGCCATTTGTATGTCTTCTTCAGAGAAGTGACTTTTCATATCTTCTGCCCACTTTTTGACTTATTTGTTTTTTGGGTGTTGAATTAAGAAGTTCTTTATAGATCTTGGATACCAGCCCTTTATCTGTAGTGTCATTTGCAAATACTTTCTCCCATTCTGTGCGCTGCCTCTTTGTTTTGTTGACTGTTTCCTTTGCTGCGCAGAAGCTTTTTATCTTGATGAAGTCCCAAAAGTTCATTTTTCCTTTTGTTTCACTAGCTTTTGGAGATGTATCTTGAAAGAAGTTGCTGTGGGCGATGTCAAAGAGGTTACTGCCTATGTTCTCCTCTAGGATTTTTATGGATTCCTGTCTCACATTGAAGTCTTTCATCCATTTTGAGTTTATCTTTGTGTACGGTGTTAGAGAATGGTTGAATTTCATTCTTCTGCATGTGGCACCATTTTCCCAGCACCATTTATTGAAGAGACTGTCTTTTTTCCATTGCATGTTTTTTCCTCCTTTGTCGAACATTATTTGACCATAGAGTTGAGGGTCCATATCTGGGTTCTCTATTCTGTCCCATTAGTCTATATGTCTCTTTTTGTGCCAGTACCGTGCTGTCTTAGTGATCACAGCTTTGTAATATAGCTTGAAATCGGGCAACATGTGGTAGGAGACCTGGATTTCGTCTGGTCTCAGGAATTCAGGTGAATAGGGATCAAACCATTCTGAACACCTACGAACTCAACAGAAGATTGAAGAAAAGAATAGCAACAACTCTCTGAACAGAAAAGCAACCACTTTCTGGAAGGTAGGACGTGCGGAGAAGTGAATCGGAGCCGATATTCGGGAGGATAGACGGCGGGGGAGGGGGCCTCCGTCGGCCGCTTCTGGAAAGTGATAGAGCCGCGGAGCACAAAATCGGAACTTTTAGAAGTCGGCTCTGCTAAGGGACGTCGCTCCAGTGGCTAAGCAGGGGGTGGAATGCTCGCGGGACAGTGTGGTCTCAGGACCCTCGGGGTCACAGAAAGACCGGGGGTGCCTGAGTGCGGCAGAGCTGCCGGGTATCAGAGCAGGGAAGCCGGCTACAGAGACAGAGCCCAGGTGCGGGCTCTCAGCTCGGGGTTGCCATAAACTGTGATTGGTGACAGTCGGGCCACTGCTCCTCCAGCAGGGACCCAACAAGCGGCAGATCCGGGGAGACTCCCCTTCCTCCCCCGGGGAGGGGCGGTGTGGGAGCGCACCGCAGGGATCTGCTGGGTTTGGAGACTCCACACGGGGTCGGGCGCCAGAGATAGAAATGCTCGGTCACAGGCCGGGTGAGCATGGAGTGCGGCCGGAGACCGGGGAGACGGGAGTGATTGACTGCTTTTCTCTGGGGGCACACTGAGGAGCGGGGCCCGAGTTCTCGGCTCCTCCAGGGCGGAGATTGTGAGGCCACCATTTTCACTCTCGTCCTCCAAAGCTCTACGGAAAGCTTGCAGGGAACAAAAGCTCCCGAGAGCAAACCTGAGCAGATTACTTAGCCCGGACCGGCAAAGACGGGGCAATTCCGCCTCCGGCAAAGACATTTGGGAACCACCGCAACAGGCCCCTTCCCGAGAAGATCAGCAAGAACAGCCAGCCAAGACCAAGTTTCCGATCAATGAGAATGGCA